CTAACGTGTGATCTTTTACCTAGTCCAACTGTCCCCGTGAACTCCAAAGGGATAATTGGCTGCGTGAATTGTCAAGCGCGTGAGGGAGATGTCCCAAAGGGCTATATTCTTTAATGGCTATATTATGCCGAACGGCTATGTTGTGCCCAACGACTATATTGTTCCCAACGGCTATATTGTCTTAATTTACTTATTGGGCCTTGCCCAAATGTGGGTCATGCGCCAGTCCAATCCAGAACAGTGTTATTTATTAATTTTCTGTTCTATCACTTATTACTAGTTAGTGTATTGATTATGGTGTATCATGTCATACCTTCTATCGGAGCATCGTGTTCAACATCTATCCCCTGAGGAACAACATTTCACCATATTTCCTCTTTTTTCTTCAAGTTCTTTTGTAGCTAACAATTATTCTCGTTTCGCTTTTTGAATTTTAAGTGTTGTTCTTTCTGTTTTTGAATCCAACAGTATGAGTGTCAAATTGGAACCTCGCATAAAGAAACAAACAATACCTTAGTAACATTGCACTAGACATAACAGAATAAGAGTATAAATTAAAATAAAAATTGAAACTTTAAAATAAAAATGAGAATAAAACAAAACAAAAATAAAACGCACAATATTGCCTTATTGAAATTATCAACATTCCCTAACAACGGCGTCAAAAACTTGATGACTTAACTAGCAAGTTACTGGTCTCGTCGAAGTAATAAAATAATTTGTCTCCACAAAGATTGCGAATTTAAACAAGGTTATAATAATGAAAATTAAAATAAACAAAAACGGGGTTTCAATTATGATCGACATGAAAACAAATACGAGAAAATGTTTAGAACAAAGTTTGATAAATAAAAAAAGCAATTAGGTATTTCTTTTGAATCCCCTAATCATACATGTTGATAAATGTACATCAAATGAATAGTAATTATGCAATAATTATACGATGAATTAACAAGACCACTACACTATATTCTTTGGTGTGCAACTCACTAATTTAAATGATAATTCCCCAACTCCTTAGATGAATTCAAAGTAAAACTAGGTGTTTCTAAGTTCGTTAGTTCTACAACCAAAACTTATAATTACCTATTCCTAGTTAATTACTAATTTGAACAATTTCCCTGATTCAGATCAGTAGACTTATGGTCAATAATATCTACTCATCTAAAATCACTTCTCGTGCTCGTCAACACGCAAAGAGCAGTAAGAACAAGAATAACTGAGTAATAATTATAACATAGAAGTATTCAAATAATCTCAAACATTTATATGACTCAACATAGTACAATTAGGTTCATCTCTAAAGATAAAATAACTTAGCTACTCATAGTGAAATTAACTATTACCATGATTTGATAAGAAACATTCATCAAATCAATGGAAAATAAGCTCTTTAATTACTCAAATGCTCTTCAAAATCGCTCACAAAAGCTCTTGGTCGTCACTTTCTCGGCCTAGATTTCGTAACTCTTCAAAAATATCTACTTTTGTCTATTTAAAGTGCAAAAAGTGTGTCAGAAAAAGTCTTCATTGCGACCGCGAGAAAAACATAGGCAAATCTTCTTTTTCTTCTTCCTTTTTTTTAAGTCACAACTTTTTTCACCTTTTTGTCATTTTTGCTCACTTCTTCATCATTTGGCTTTACTTTTTCTCATAATTTCATCAATTTAGTTGAAATTGCTCGAGATATTACGTGATGACAGAGTGTAATTAGTGACATTATTTTCCATCTCTTCAAGGTGCAAATTATTGTTAAATATGTGAAAGGTTTGAATTTGCTCTTTCTAAGGCAAAGTGTAAAATACTTTGATAATTATTCTGACAGTGTGAAACATTTCAAGGATCTTTTTTTCTTGTTCGTTCCTCTTAACGAAGAGGCTCATGCAAAGGTTTTCCGCCTAGAGCCTGGCACCACCTCTATGTGCACGAATCTCTTTCACAAATACTATAAGTAATTTTTTAACTAAAGTAGACATGTATCTCTACCGGGAGGAAGATTTATTTGCGGAAGAGTTGCACTTAAAATATCAGATGGTAAGCTTTTATTAAGAACTTCTTTACTAGGCTGGGGGATTATGTCTGACTTGGCTTCTAGAACAAGGCTAAAAAGATGTACCGAAGCTCGTTGGCCTGTGGATGCTAAATATAAGGGAGAAAGGAAGAAAATATTTAGGGGGTGACCTTCGAATTTTGTCCCTCATACTCCTTTTTCCCGTTCTTATTCTAATTTTCTTTTGTTCTCGAAGATACCGTGAAAAGTGGGGATGATATGCGGCAGTTAAGGAAAGAGATTTGGGCGGCTGATGTTTGGTTAGAGTTTCAAACACACCTTCTTTCAGGGGGTATATGTCTCTGGTACGTATGTTAAAACTCCCTTTGCCTTGGTCGTCAAACAAATGACCCATATTTCTTCCCCTTAGGTTAGGGAAAAAGTTCAAGTTCCTCTTGCTCATGTTGTAGTAGATAAAGGTTCACAATCTCCTTGTCGAAGAACATTTCTATGAGAGTGGCCCCATTTCTCGAGATCGAGTTCGTCTTAACGAAATCATTAAAGATATGAAAATTGTCCCTTTGGAGAAGTAGGTAGTTTCTTTTTCGTTTTTTTTCTTTTGTTTGTTTGACACTATGTGTTGCAGAACCAGAAATGGAGAAGATTGCAGAAGTTAGAGTGAAATGAAGCTTCTTACGTGATTCGGTGATGCGGCTTCTTAGACCAAAGGTTGCGATCGTTGTTCATTTTGAATCGAAGACGTCGATCTTGAACTGGTGTTGCAAATCTCCGATACAGTGGGAAAAAGGGTGTGCCTGCATGGTTAGCACTCAAATGCCTAAGTTATAGTTTGTGGTTCAAGATAATCGTAGTAATATTGAATATTAGAAATTGTATGCCTAAAACTTTCTCCTAATTGTATTTATACCTTGGTCTCCATGGAGCGGGAAAAATGAATGGGCCTGATCTTATTGGGCATTTGGCCGACCCATAATAGTTACCCCTTAGACTCGTTGAGCACTCTGGATCTTGGAGGAGTCTTTTAGAAGCAGTGGTCGGCCTTTAGAAATGGTTCTCCATGCGTCGGCGGACATGCATTGCTTTGGTTTGGCCAAAGAGTGATGAGGAACACGAGCATTAAATACAATCCCATCATTGAAATGTTTCACCATTTTTCTATGGACGTGTGACCTAAAAAGGTAGATAGTGGTGTGACGTTGCTTACTGTACACTTGAGTTTGATTGTGTTTCCAAGGTGAAATTTGACCATTGGTTTGCAATTGCTTCTTACTTTCAATCCAATCCATCTTATTGCCTTTGCCTGCACAATGATAGAGAAAATTTGGGAGAATTTTCGCAACCTTTTAGATTGAATTTATCTTATTTCCTTTGAGTATTCCTTCTTCTATGAGACTGTTTTCCTAGAAGAGATCCAATACTTGAGAAATAGTGTGGTAATCCCTTTAAGTAAAAGAGTTAGTTAGCGAATGAACGAACATGTGACCGGGGAATGCGATCGACCGTCAGATGGATATGAATGGTGAAAATAAACTTCGTAGCCACAGTTACCTGAATGGTATGGGAAATTGTGTTGTTTCATGTTAGGCTCGAATTGAGTTTTCGTGCCTTTTTCGGGCCTTATGAGCGACCCATAACAAGGGTCATGGATGAGTTAGTTTGAATTTTTCCTTAATCAACTGTAGCTAAAAGAGTACCATCTATAATAGATATTTTTTGTTACTGGTGCAAGATGATTAAATGTAAAAGTGTGTAAGCAAGAGTGTCATGTGATCAATGACACCAAAATCCAATATTCAACATTGTTTTAAGGGTATATCTAAAGCATTAAGTCCAAACAAAAGTAGAGATTTGTCGAAAGAAAAAGGAAATAAAAACGCATGTGTATATGTTAAAGAACAAGTACTTGTTGGTTTCTCCAATTTACTGAGGAGAGATCTCACATTTTCTACTTCACTTAAGTTAAGTTCTACCCCTCATTCTAGACTATTTCCACTAGTACTTCTAGCCATGAGTGAATGTGTGAATGTCCTCTCTTTCTTGATAAATCTCCCTTCTAGAAATTTAAGTTCTACCCCTCATTCTAGACTATTTCCATTAGTACTTCTAGCCATGAGTGAAGAAGTTAAGTTCTACCTCTCATTTTAGACTATTTCCATTAGTAGCCATGAGTGAAGAAGTTAAGTTCTACCTCTCATTCTAGACTATTTCCATTAGTACTTCTAACCATGATTGAATGTGTGAATGTCTCTCTTTCTTGAGAAATCTCCCTTCTAGAATTTTTTTATGCATACCCAAAGCTCTCTCGAACAAAAACTCGTGACACCATGTTAAATCTGAATATTATTTTATGAGCATGATTAACAACTAATGTTTTTTTATTTATTTAAAAAAGAGTATTATGACCTAAATGGTACTAAAGGTCCAATCATGAATTATTAATAACACAAAAAAATAACAATAGTAAAATTAACTGTTTATGACATAAAAAACACCTTATTTAACATTATCTTATGAAAAATAAGTCCATTCTATTTTAACTAAAAGATTCTAATTAAAATAAGTGAATTTTTTATAATTAAGATTTTCCTACATTTAAGATGTCTCCTGAAATTTCAAATTAAAAGTCAATACACCTGTAAGAGCCAAGCAGCTAAACTCCAACCCAATTGTTGATCTCCAAACCACTTTCATGTATAACTTAAAATCATTACAATCATATTGTACACACAAACATTGATATTAGAATAACTTTTCAGCAGTTTAAGACTTAAACCTTGCAAAACCCGAAGCAAATATAACCCATTAATAGTACGACTGTATGCTTATGTAATGAATGCCAGCATTTTTTTTCATAACTTCTAAAACAATGATATTCAAACACATTGAATTCTGCCCACAATAATCTTACAAATTTTCACCAAACATTTATAAACATAGATTTCAAAGATGACCTTCTCTTTACTGTTAACCCACTCTAACTATGATCACATCAGTATGGAAAATCATGACTAGGACTGTCTGCATGCATGTCCATGCAATCACTGGAGTTGGACGAATTCGTATCCCTGTTCTGGCCACTAGGATAAGTCACTTCATTGTTCCGGGTTCCATTCCCGGATGACATGAGATTACTCGACGGACTGCTCCCCTGTGCTAAATGATATGGCTGAAGGCTGCGACGAATGGGGCTAGAGAGTGCATTTGAGAATACAGAGTTCTTTGCTTGATCAGTTGGCCCACCGCGCATTGCGTGTCCTGCAACAGTACTTCCAAATGCATTAGACTGTATGGATGCACCAAAATTAGTTTGAATTGCACTCTGGGAGTTCTGTTGAATTGACGGCCTTGGGGACACTGGTGACTCCTCTGTTCCATATTCAAGCTCGTTCTACATGTAAATATAAAGCCAAAGGTTATATCTACATTTTGCTATCAGGATACATTCGAAGACAGAATTATTCTATATTGATAATCTGCAGTAATATAATTGTAGGATATAATATATGGGAGATTACTGTACAAGTGAAGCCAGGAAAAGAGTATGACAATTCAACAATCGAGATCAGCTTGACACATAGTATAAGAGCAATAATATTTTATGATGCTATAAAAATTCTGGTTTTGCAAAATCCATGAATTTTTAACTAACAACTTCTCTTAAAAATTAAAACCAACTTCTGAATCTCAATTTTTCAAAAGCTTTTTCGTTTAACATCTCCACAATCACCTAAAAGGACTTTTTTACAATTTATAAGTTAATACCCAACTTGAATCAGCTTCTGTTCTTCTGAAGTTCTAACTAATGGCAGCTTCTCATTTAAAATAAGTTTACCTTGCAAAAAAATCCTTGCAAGCTACTAAGTTCATATAAGTTGATGAAGAAATTAAATAAGTGAGCTTATGACAAAAATTGATATGCTGATGTCAATTTCAACTCACTATAAACTATGGTTCAAATGCTTGTAACTATTGTGAGATTCTTTTAATATATTTTTCCCACAACTGTTTATTGATAAACTCATTTCAATTCAAAAGCTCATGTAAGTTAGAAGCCAGACCGAACTGGACTTATGTTGCACTGTAGCAACTCCAAGGCTTCCTCTTATTCACTTAGAACCTAACTCTTACACAGATGAAAAAATATGAACAGAAAATGGCAAACGGCTACAATATTCAGTTTGCAAGAAATTTAAGAAGCAAGATAAAAGGTTTTCCGGTACATCCATCATCAATGACTATTCTAACACCAAAAAGCTTAACCAATTTGGCATGACACAACTGATCGAAGGGATAGATATTTGGGTCCGTTAACCTTTTACTCTCGAGTTTGATCCCTTGCCCATTGCGTATGGAAAAACATCCTTAGATAGATATAAACTATCTTGAGGGATAATTCTCCCCAGTTTTGCTCATAGATGCCTTGGTTTGACAAAAACCAAAGCACAAAGATAATGCCCATTAAATAACAGTTTCATGAATTCACATTCAAAGCAATCAACACAGGAACCTATAAGCTATAAGCAAAGATAGATCTGATACAACACAAATATTGAGTTGAAAAAGGGTAGTTGATAATGATATCAATGCTGTCAATTGCAGCTAGCAGATTGTTAAAATTTCACTATGCAATACTGCTATAGTGACACTATTGCCATCAATTTGTACTAACTAGCGTATCGCGACGGAACGGAACAATAGTAGTAGTTTGTCTAAATTCCCATATATCGGTATAGTTTCGCTATAGCTGCTATTTAACAACACTAGTTGATAAATTAGATAATACAATACAGCGCATTAAATAGCTTAGTATGAATTTGGATTGAAAAAGAGTAACTTTCCCATTGAATGAGTAACTGTGCAGCACCTAAACCCAAAAAACCCCAACAGAAAACAGTTAACATAGCATAGAGCAGAAAACAAAACCTGCAAGTGAGAAACTATATCAATCGTATTCACCCTCATTCCTTCTTGTTGTTGTCTAAGAATCCACTGATACATTTTCTCCTGCATTGAATTCAAAGCACCAAAGCATTGTATTCAATCAAATAAACAAATTTTCAACAGAAAGCAATAAACATGTTAAAGAAATCGATTAATCGAAAATCAAAATCAGAAACAGTTCTATTCAAACAAGCCTATACGGTAACCCTAAAACTATAAAAAAGGGAAATTGAAAAAAAAAAACGCAACATTCAAATTTTCTCTTGTTAATCATCAAAACTGTGTCAAATAATTAATAATAATTAATAAAAAGAAAACAATGGTGCCGCGTGCATGTATAATCAATTAATTAATTGAATAATAATAAAAAGGGGGAAACGGAAAAAGGAGAGTGAGGAACGAACGAGAGCGTGGCGTTCGCCGGCTTGAAAGGAGAGTTTTTGTTGATTCATGGCGTGGGTGTAGAGATGAGAGAGGGAATTGGCGGTGGTGCAGAAGGTGGAGTACATGGTGCGATCGACTTCATCGAGACGATTCTCCACCGATTTTCTCTTTTTCGCCATCTCGTTGAAAGAGCGAGATGAATTGATTAATTTAATTGAAAAATTGGAGCGGTGGTGCTTGCCGGACAGAGAAGCAAGAGACTGGAACAAAGGGGGATATCTCCTCCACTATATGTATATACTCACCAATAAATATAATTTGATTTTTTTTATTCCACATTAATAATCATATTTAGTGGACAAAAATATAATCAAAATCCAACAAACTTTACTCTTCACCCAAAAAAAAATAACAATCTAACACACTTCGCCTAATTTAATGCTATTAATTTTATTTTTTAAAAAATCATAGATTTGGGGTTTTAAAACCAAACACATCAAATAAAAAATTGTTAATTGAATTAAGTTAAATAAAAAATTGCAAAATAAAAATCGTCTTTGCTTCAAATAGTTTGATAGTTTGGATCATATTTAAATAGAATCACGCGTTTCTATTTTATATGCAATTTGTGTTTTAAAATCAAATCAAATTGCATTATTTATAATTCATATTCATTTAACACGTTTATATGATAGCCTAAGAAGAAAAACACAAGGAAACTTAGGGTTACGCAAAGAAAAACTTAGGGTTACGATTAATAAGCAAAGAAAGTCGGGAGAAGAATGCAAGGAAACTCAAGAACAACACAAAAGAGTGCAATGCAAATCAGTTTATCATCTTAGGATTTTTCATCTTCATCTTATTCGCAATCGCAAGGGAAATATATTTTTTCCTCTTTTTCTTTTTCACCTATAATCTCTCTATTAAGAATCTATTAGCAATCAATTAGTAATAATTGAGATTCAATTAGTTATAATTGTAATTAGGTTATCCCATATTATGTATAATCATATTTGTATATAAATATATAACATGTGTGATCATATTCGACACACAGAAACACAATCAAAACATGGTATCGAGAGTTAATTGATCAACTGTCTTCCATTAAAATTTTCTTTTATCTTCTGATTTTTCTGCCAGAATCGACACTGCCGCCACTAGAATCACAACTCTCAATGACATTCTGGTGAGATACATATACCTTCGGAATCGCCTCTTCCAGATCGGCTCGTCCTCAAAATCTCATCGTCACCCACCTTCCTACACGCCCTCACACCCTACCTCTCCTTTTGCGCGTGGATCTCACGCGCCACCGCTCCAGCCGCGTGTGACAGCGTGTCCAGTTTCCTTTTCCTTCGTTGTTTCCATCGCCAGTCTCTTACCGTCTTTCCAGATATGTACTCAGCTTTTCATTTCAAGACATCAACTATCATGGGAGACGTCGATTTCCTCACGTTTACTAAAGTTTCGCTTATCCCGTTTAAGAAACTAATTGACACATCCAACTACAACATACTGGCTAGTGCTATCAAAATGTGGTTTCACTATCATGGAAATAAAGATTACCTAACCACACAATCAGATGATATACTCGCTGCTAAACACGATAAGTGAAAACAAATTGATGTTTCTCTATGCATTGTGTTATGGTTTTTCATAGCATCTAATATCCAAACATAATGCCAAGCTTTTACCACTTGCTATGAGGTTTGAGAAAAGGCTAAGAAATTTTTATCTAATGATGTTTATTGTCTTTACAATGTCATCCTCAAACTAAACTCTTTGAAATTGAAGAATATGGATATGCAAGTCTATCTGATTAAGCTTGATACGTTGAAGGGAAATTACATAACCCTAATTCATTTTACAAAAGTGTGAAGGCAAGGTTCCTTTTTATTATGTTTTAATGATGTCAAAACTATGATATTAAGTACCTATGTATTTTGGATGGCATCACCTTGTCTCAGTCTTGCGTTCATCTCTTGCAAACGTGCATAAAGATCCTTATACATGTATTAGACATATAAGATCATACACAATGTTAAAAATGGGTTTTTGGGTCATTTTTAGAGCCATTGGTCGACTCATAAAGGTCATAGATCGACTCGCATTGAAGGGAAAAAGTTTTGAACTCTCTGCCTTGCATGCGCCTACCCTGGATCGACACTTAGGCCCCTACAGGCAAACTCACACTGTAAGGAAAATCATTAAAATTTTCTGCCTTGCATACGTCGATGCATGACTGCCTGTAGGTCGACGCATGGGCCAAGTTTTATGCAGTTTTGGCCACTGTCTTGTTCAAGTCGACTCATAGATGCCAGAGATCGACCTCTCGCGCGTGTTTATTCATTTTTCTGTGCCTTTTTGTTCCTAAACTCAGTTTTTCTTTACTCATTCATGTACATGCATATATATTCATATGCATCACTTTGAAAAATAAAAAGAAAATTGAAAGAAACATTATTCTGCTCTTCATATTCACTGTCACAATTGCATTCATCAATAATCACACATAATCATCTTTATTGATTGTGCTTTGTCAAGAGTGATAACGTCCAAACGAAGGATTTGTAAATCAAGTTTGGGTAGATATTCAGTGGGATTTTCTTAGATAAAACCATTGGGGTTTTTTCCTTCAAGATATTGAAAGAATTTGGGTTTTTTGTACAGGTCTTCACATCACAGATTCAACTGAGTAAAAGCCTTGAAGAACGGTGGGTTCGGTCAAGGGAGTAACGGTAACCAGATGATTGTTTTGGAAGATTTAGGGTTAAACATCTTGCGATCGAAATCAGCCGAGTGAAAGACTTGAAGAACGGAAGGTTCGATTAAGTGAGTAGCGGTAAACGGAGGTTTGACCGAAGTGTTTGATGCACTTGATTCAGCTGGAATCAATGGGAGAGAAGTGGTTAGATTCAACCTCAATAATTGGGTTAGATTGTTGGTTAGCTAGGATTTTTCTTGTACTAAACATTGCACCCAGATTTTATACACATCTCAATTCTAATTTAGAATTGTGTGCATACGTACCCAAAGTGAGGACGAAAGGGGAACTGTCTAAACAAAATGGATTTTTTTTTCTCTTTCTCTCTATCTCTTTACTTTTATATTGTTGAAGTTTGTATGAAATCAATTGTTAGAAACATTTCGATTGAGTTTCTAGTGTTTCGAACAGATGTGTAAAACCATTGCAATCACTTTAATTGCAAGTGAGAAAAATCCGCACTACAAATTCAAAGGAAATTAACTTTACGTGTTTCACACACCAAGTGTTTGATATATTGATAACATACAAACTGTTTGATATATTGTCAATTCAAAATTATCCTCAATTAAGCATTGAAAATCGGTTCACCTTAAGTGGATTTTATTTGAATAATTGATTGGGAACCTTAGTGATTATATTCTCTCATTAAGATCATTCCATTCGGTTTCACATGTCCGATCTTTCCAATAAAGGTTCAGATAGACGAGTTTTGATCTGAGGCCGCTTTCGCATATTTTTAGAACAATTTTTTTAAGCGCAAATTATTTAAAATAAGTGATCTATTCAACCCCCTTCTAGATCAGTGCCCTCGTCTAACAAGTGGTATCATGAGCGCCGGTTCATCTAGTGCTTCGCATATAGCTTATTAGAAAATGGCTAACGAACCTAAAGGGGCGTATAATAGAGCGCTGGTTTTTAATGGTGAAAATTACGGTTATTGGAAAGTTTGTATGTGGGTGCGTATCAATTCTATTGAAAGAAATGTATGGAACGTTATTCAAAATGGTCCTATTGAGATAACCATGACCAATACAAATAATGTTCTTGTACCTAAACCGGAAGCACAAAGGAACGATTATGATGAGAAAAAGTACAATTATGATTGGAAATCCATAAATATTCTCATATCCTCTTTGAGAGTTGATGAATACTATAAGGTTTCTCAATGTACAACCGCTAAGGCTATATGGGACGCATTATAAGTTTCCCATGAGGGAACAAATGATGTCAAACTAACTAGAATTAATACTTTAACTCAAGAGTTTCATCTCTTTCACGTGAAGCATGGTGAAACCATTGCGGAAATGCAAAAGAGATTCACTCACCTTAGTTTAAATTCACTTGGTAGACTCGTTTCCAATGATATTGCTACTAATAAAATTTTAAGATGTCTTAATATGGAATGGCAACCAAAGGTCACCATGATCAAGGAAGCTAACGATCTCATAACATTGGACACCACAACATTATTTGGTAAGCTTGAAGAATATGAGCAAGAGCTCATAAGTCTTGAGCAACATGAAAAGAGAGAAAAGAAAGAGAAATCAAAAGACAAGGACAAGAAATTTTTTGCTCTAAAGGTTTCTAGCTTAAAGTTCTCCACCAAAGAGCTTAGTGAAAGTGAGTCAAGTGATGATGATGGAGATTCGAATGATGAAATGAGGTTGATGGTAAGAAGGCATAATAGATACACCAGGAAGATTGGAATACAATATTCAGACAAAAATCTCATTAACTTTAGACGTCAATCAAAATCTTCAAAGCAAGAAGTAAATAAGAATACAAAGTCAAAGGGTTCATGCCATAATTGTAGAAAGGTCGGTCACTACAAGCTGGATTGTTCCTTGATGAAGAAAGACAAAGAAAAAGACAAACATCATCAACAAAAGAAATCGAGCAAACCTAGAAGGGCATGCATCGCGTGGTAGAGTGATAATGAATCCTCAAGTGAAGTTAGCTCAAGTGGTGAAGACAAATGGTCAATCTTTGTCTCACGGCTCATCAAAAGAAGAAAAAGAATGTAAGGCATTCTAAATATGAACATATTGATAAAATGTCTTATTCTGACTTTCAAAATGCTTTTGAAGCTCTACACCATAAGGCTAAATATGCTTTCAAACGCTTAGCCTCAAATAAGAAATTTTTCTTACAATTAGAGAAAAAGATTTCTGATTCAGAAAGGGAATTAAAAGCTCTTAATAAATCAATGGTAGATGCTACAAAAGCTAAAACTGAGGATGATAAGTTCTCTTGGTTTAATTAGACGGGTTGTGAAACTTGTCACATTTGGCAAAAAGAGGTTAGAACTCTTAAAGCCAAATTAGACAAAGCTCTAGAACCTAAAGTTACATTTTCTGTTGATCGCTCACACTTTAGAAGTAGTATGAATAATCCTTATAAAAAATATAC